TTTTGGTAGGTTTTCCTTAGTCTGGTTACTTTGCTCTTTCTTTTATCTACATTGTTGCTCTACCAGGGAGTGAGTCTGTTTTTCCCTTAATACTCTCTGCAACTACTTCTCGTGCACTTTAATGTTCTATCAGTTAGACTTATGATGAATTTTTCAAATCTAGGAATATCGTATATTGAATTGTCGCTCAGCTTTTTATTTATTATTAATGCTGTTTCTTCTAATCTATCTAATTGAACATTTCTGATGTTGTACCCTCTGGATATTTTAACATCATGATCGGTTTCCTTTATTTTTATTAGTATTGGCCTGTGATCACTGGAGTTACCCCCTTCTAATACTTTCCAAGTAAACTCAATGTTCTCTTCTCAATTTTCTATAAGAAATGTGTACTGCTTTATTGGTAGTATACAAATCTGATGCACTTAAGATATCTTCAGAAAAGATGCCATTTTTATTAGTATGTTTTGATAACCGTGATGCTGATTTGTTGGAGTATCCGATATGCTTTTAGAACGTCTTCTATTAGTTCAATTAGATTTTCGGAATCTTGGTATCAGGGTATATATACACTGTCTATAAGCAGTTAGATATTTTCTATTACAAAAGATAGACATTTATGTAGGTGTTAGGTAGTTGGGTAATACTAGTAGATCGACACCTTTTCCGGTTATCAGAGTTGCCGTTAAAGGTGGTTCGTTACTAACATGTGCACATTGGAAGGATGTATACCCGGTATTTTTCTTATGCTATATGTTGTATGTGTGTAGGGTTCCCGCAGACATATTATTTTAACGTCATGTTCTTTAGCTAAAGGCCTGGTTAAAATTGTAGCTGTCCGTGATTTCTGAACATTAGTCTGCAATATTACTATGGGGACTTTAAATATCATAGTCTGTTATAGAATTTGATGTCCTTCTGGTTAAGGGAGAACATTTTGGAGTCCTGGCTTCGTGGGCTGTCTTCCTCATATTTGCGGCAATACAGTTTACACATTTAGGTTTCGGCAAGTTCTCATTTCGTACTTGTCCTCATAATATTCACATGCCATTTCGTTTATACAATCCTGATGTAGTCGCGGATTATGCAAGAATACTATCTAATGTATATTCTTTCATAATGAAGTAGGACATGCACTTTTACTGCCCAGTGGTTATGTTGCCTATATATAGGTCCGAATTTGTATTTTAGGCTGATATCTCAGGCTCTTCGCTGTTTGGCAACACTTGTTTGAGTTTATCTATATCATCGACTTCATAAATTGAAGGAATACCGAAGATGGCTAGTATTGGGTTGAACTTTCCAACGATTGACATTTAGAGGACTTACAATTACTTAATACAAATAAAATCTTTTAGAGATTGAATTATTAACGTTTTTATTATCGGTTGCTATGAGTGTTAAAACATAAAACAGTATGTACCAAAATTATAAAGGTATTTCGTTATAAAATAACTAACAAGAAGTTGCCTTCTGATAGCACTTTTATCTATTAGTTCCCTGTTAATTTTGAAAGTCGTGATTCTGATTCCTTGATCTTCATGTTTGGTTATTCTGTCAGGATTCAGGCCAAGAGCGGTTGGTTTCAATTTGGTTAGCATTCATCTCTATGTATCTCTTCTTTCTCCGTTTTTTACTCCAGGAGTAATATGTAACGTTAATTTTTGGCCCCACGAATTAATAAAATTGTTTTGGCTTACCTGGTTAATCATACGAAAAAAAAGGGTAAAATCGTATTGATGATATCACTATTATTTTTGTCATTAACTAATTTCACCTGTATTCTAACTTTCGGACATCATTATTACAATTTATTTCATCTCACCACTAAGTAAAAGGATGGTAGCTCACCACTAGTGTAATACTTTGTACAATGGTCATATTTGCAGTGTAGTGTTCACTGTCTTAATTTGCCAGATTCTCCTAAAAATAGACCAAGTTTCGTTGTAAATTTATACATATTATGTATTATAGTCTCACCTTTGGGTAATTAATTATTTACGATACCATTCTTTAAGATTTTCTTTGTTTATTTTTGTTTATAGCTGTCAGTTTGGATTAATGTTTTTTAATTATGACAGTGAATGACATAAACGTCATTTGACGACAGAACACCGACAATTGTCATGTTGGTGGGACGTTCCAATATCGGGCTCAGAACCCGAGGTAAGGTAGTTTCACAATGAGCGATTTTAAGTCGTGAGGGATTTTTTTTGCGATCGCTGTTGTATTAATTTTTGTCGGGAACAGTTTCCCAAATGTAGTTATACTGTATATAAATATAATTTTTAAGGTACCTTTCGTAAATGGTCTCTTAAGTTATATAGTGGGGAATTCTTGAGGATGCATTTCTGAACCCACTTGACATTTATCGGAAAGGGATTTCGGCCATTTTGGACGGCTGACGTGTTGTTTCTGTCAGTGGGTGTTGAGTCACGAAAAAGACGATTTTTGTGTCGAAATAGAATTTTCTTAATATTTAGCCCCATCGGCTTACCCTAATTAAAGGGGATTTTAGATTCTATTTCATGGTTAATTGTGGGTAAATGGAAATTTCGTATTTTGGAAGGGAATTTTAGTGTATTGGTAAATTCCTATGGTCATTGGTCCAGCCCATATCTAGTATAGGATTTTAACGCAATAATTGGAAGGTCACAGCATTTGGAGTGTGGAATATTGTTGTGCTGTGGATCATCTCACGTGTTTCTCATCCTTGGAAGGCTACCAAGTTAACCCTTTACGAAAAAGGTATGTTTTGTATATATTTGGTTATGTTACGCACCATGTGGCTGTCAATTTATTTTATGTTATGACATGGTGTAACAGAATTTTAATTATTTGAGCTCATAATACTGTTTATGACTCACTGTTGAGCCAATGTAATTTTTCTTTATCCTAGATGCTGAATAGTTTCTAGTTTATGTACATTTTTGGGTAATCCTATAGTTCGGGATACTTGAGTCAATGTGTATTGACATTTTTCTTTGTAATATTTTAAGGGTTTCACCCAGGGGCTTGTTAGCCCAAGATTAGTCGACAGTTTCACCCAGGGGGTTGTTAGCCCAGGATTAGACGACAGTTTCACCCAGGGGGTTGTTGACCCAGGATTTCAACAGTTGTACACAGAGGGTTATATCGTCCGGAGTTCAACGGTTTCATCGAGGGAACACAGAACATTGGTATGCTAGCCGCCTACCTTACTTGTAGCTAGATTTACAATGATGATTCTCGTTCTGGATAGGAAGATGGGAATGCTGTGAAAGAAGACACCCTACTATCAGGTTTTTCTTATACGTTATATTGAAGGTTTCATGCGTGCATTGTTAAACTATACATTCACTTTCAACCGAATGTTGTCAAGGTATTCTCAACATTATTTATACTTTTGAGCACATAATGTTCTAGGGTTCTTTCACTCATAACTTAAGTATTATCAAATGTTACATCGTTTAATTGATTAATATTTTAAATGTTTACTTAATTTAAGCACTTAATGCTGATGTAGTAATCCTTCGGGTCGTAGAACACTTGGACTGCTTCCACGTTTAAGTTGTAATTCTTCAGTTATTAAGGGCTACTGCCATACTTTTACTTTATTCAATTTATTCATTATTAAATGGACCAGACTTAACGATTAAGTTAAGCAATCTCAGAAGACCCGAGTGGGGGCAGAGATTAAGTAACCTCTTCCAATCTGGGAGTTTAAGTAAATAACCTCTGTGTCTGAAGTCCTTTGTGTATCTTTGTATTTTTATTTTTTTTTTGATATTTTTATTTAGTTTTATGAATTATACTTAATTATAAAATTTCATGGTTTGATAATTTCCTTTTGGGTAGTTTGGTCTTAACCAAAAGTTAAGCAGATATCGCCTTCCAATTTGGAGAGGGTTATAGGCTTATAAGGATTATAAGTTTACTGTTTAATTTATAATATATGATGTAGTATAGGTGCGGTTATGCACAAGATTTGAGTTAACTATTATTTTATATTTTATGTAAGGTGGAAATTAATATTTTGCGCAAGCGTCATGCCTGGTACCAAGCTAACGACGAACCGTGCCGTATTTTGATTTAATAATTTTTTTTGGGTTACGCATATACATATATGGTGTAAACTTTCCCTTTAATTTCCTCCACCTTTTTTTTTGGATTATCTAAAGCCATTAGGTAATTAATTAGTTTTAGTAATTTGTCAAACTCATAATAAATAATTGTTGACATTTAAAGTTGATATATTTAGTAAATATTTTCCCTTTTTTTTTATATAAAGGAACATAAGTTGAGGTTTGTCTTTTATTTCTTTTCTCATTTACTGGGTTTTTGGGGAAATAGGATCATAGTTTGGCCACTATATAGACCCAGTTGGCGCCTACTCATTTGTCTACTATTTCCGGAATTATTGTAAGCTATCCACCCCCTAGCTGCCGTCGGAGCGACGTCGAAGGCCCGAAGGTTGACACCGGAACAACCGAAACTTGTGTAACCGTAGTAGACAACATTTTTAATTGTAGTTAATACTTTAATAATTTTTTTTTAAGTTTAAAAATTTTGGTGGAATCACCAAGTTCATTTCTTAGGTTACAAATATATAATAATTATTAACCAATTAAAATAATATTAATTGTGTCGGTTCATCAAATAATTTTACTTAAATACGGAATTTAAAGACGTATTTATTTTTTATAATTTTGTAATACATCCAAACAAAAATATCGTTTTGTAGAATATGTACATCAATTTATTATTAGTCATATGAAAATTAATAATTTATAGTATTTATAGTATATACAACGTTCTCTTAATTTTAAGTAAAAACCGGATGTGCTGTTAATAATACAATTTATCCCCTTAATATTATTATTTGAATAATCACCATGAAATTACTAAAACAACACCAACAACAACTAATCTACGATAATTTCAAATTAGTTGACTCACTATATTATTCACATTGAAAACATATTATTAGAAATAAGAAATAATTATTATTTTATTTTCAGCTCTAATCATCAATGTGCTGGCAAAATGGCTCAAGATTTCCGCAACCTCATCTGGGATTATTTGGTGTTTGTTGGTTTAATTTTAGCGACTATATCAGTTGCGGTGTATTCGAAATTTTGCGGTGTTAAAGAAAAAACAAAGGCCGATTATGTGTTTGCTCTTGGAAAAGTGTCTGTGTTTGCCATGATGTTGAGTATAGCCAGAGGAAATCTTGGAGTTAGATCAGTCATAGGTGAGTAGTCAAATATTTGAATAAATAAAAGAATTTAGCCATTGGATATTAGATAAATGAAATATAACACACACGTGATAGTCTAGAGTTAAATATCATGAAGGTTTCAAAAATAATGTTCTCACAAAAGATACATTTATTGGTTATTCACATTATTTTGTTTTAAGTGTTAATATGTTATACAAGAGTTTGTGTTTACAACTCACAGAAGATATTTTGTGTTCATTTAAAACTGGATTCTCTTAACTCATGCAGTTATGAACTGTACTAGATTCGTTGATAGAATGAGAAATATCTAAATTAAATAACTTGAGATTTTCAATGCTCTTTAAGCGTTCTGGCCAATGATGTACTTTGTACACTTATTTCGGTGTGCCTTTAGAGAGAAATACGTATATTTGGTATACTTTTTTAAAAGTTTTCTTAACGATCGCCAACAATGGGTACAAGAAAATGAAACAAGAAGTGCCTTTTTCAGAGCAGGATACGGAGTTTCTCAAGGGACAATACTAGGTCCAATTCTTTTTAGTATTTACACATAATGGAGGCCCTACACGATCCAATATGGCCTGCAGGCCAAAACGCACAGTTCTGATCTAAAGGCAAGATTTAATCAGCACATTTCACTCTTTATCTTCACATTATACAGAAGAGGAGAGGCCAGATGTGAGTTAAATGGAGCACTTCATGTTGAGTTATGGACTGAATCGATGGACTGTATAGCTTGTAGGGCCTTTTTAATGATAAAGTTATTTACTCATTAGATATAGTAAGTGTAGCCAATGATACAGCGATCTTCTACCAAGCTAATAACTGAAAAGAACTGAAAGGAAAAGTTAATCGTTAATTTTGACAAAGTTAACTTATACAAATAACCAAATAATATATTCTTAACATTCTTTTTGTTATTGAAATAATTGGCATTAAAAAAGAACCAAGTATAAAATATTTATTATATTACTATTTTTTATAGGTATAGATTTATAAAAGTAAATAAAATCACTTTTAAGAAGATTTAAAGTGTTCAGTGAAATACTGAACAGTTCTGTACAATGACTTGGTAGTAAGTCATCTTCGATATGGAATAGTTGTCTGTGTGATATAAAATTATAAAAAAGAAGTTAAAAAATCTAGGCTAAACTTGGACAACAAACTTCACTTTAACATACATGAGCAGGAAGTAGTAAATGAGGCAACACAAGCCCTAATGGTGTATAGAAACATCGGGGGTAAAATATGGGGATATAACACTCTGCGATAGATGTATACAGCAATAGTGAGACCAATCAATACGTACGGGACTGTAGTCTGGGAGTAACAGACCTATTTAAGTTATCACGAGAGCTAATATCTCAAAAGTACAAAGAGTAGCCTGTATGTGCATCGCCAAAGCAATGGGAACCTGTCCTGCGGATGCAATGGAGATGACCCCTTTACATTTAATGGTAGAGAGTATGTATGTATGTACGAAAGTATATTAGTTTTGGGACCCAAAACACTTGAGATATGCTCAGGATAAAATGAGAAAGAAGTATACTTTTTAGAACCACAGAGCTGGCCTGCATGAAAAAATAGAGCCAATAATCCATCGTGCTTGCAACCGAAATACATGGTATTTAGTGGTATACGGATGGTTTCAAAATCATAAAAGAAACAGGAATAGGAGTATATGTGCCTAGAACCAGACACTCTGAAAGTTTGGGTAAATACCCAAACATCTTCCAGGAGGCAATTTATGACATTGAGAAGGTATATCCAGCCCAACATTGACAAAAACTATTGCAGACAGGAGATAATCATCATGTCCGTTAGCCAAATAGTCATCAAACTGCTGAGCTCTTACGTAATCAGCTCAAATGTGGGGCTTCAGCACCTGAGCTGTTCTGAGGTATTAGCCCTATAATAGAAACAATCTCTTGGGGCTAAATCATGCTAAGACACTTATAAGTGAATATTACCAAAAAATATCGTAAGCCCTACGTATGTATAGCCTGAGCTATTCATTATAACAGGGATCATTACCGGGCATTGCCGACTCAAAGGACTCCTTAGTTAACTGATAGTAGTGATCTTCATTCACATTCTGACTAAATGTGTAGCACTCCAGAATCCAAGGGCACTACACTTAAGAACATATCAAATAGAAGAAGGTAAGGTACCTAACTTGAAGCCACTCCAAATTCCAAACTTTCTTAAGAAGATAGGATTAAAAGGATCGTTATAAGCATCTAAACTATTTCTTTGTTGAATTAGTGACAGAATGGGACACTATAGATATTTTTGGTCGCAGTGTATAAATACCCCATACTCAACATAACATAACTTAACATTTATTGTTTGTTTTTTGTTATTTTTTTCATTGATACTTATTTACTTTTTTCTATTTTTAAGCTTTCTTTGTATAATAACTTCTTTTTCTTCATTTTGTATTTTATCTTGTGTTTTTACCTTTATATCTAATTCTTGTATATTTATTTCTAAATATTCTTTATTTATTTGTTCTTTAATTGTTTTTATAATTTCTTCTTTCTTCTTTATAATTTTATCTCTTTGTTTTTCTCTACTTTCTTCTAATTTATCAATTTCTTCACGGTGTCTCCGTTTGCCTATTCATTTCTAGCAGCTTTCTCAGTATTGGATCATCTCATTAAATAGAAGAGGGTGAGCTACCTAACTTGAGGCCACTCCAAATTTTAAACTTATCTAAGAATATAGGAAGGGAAGGATTGTTATAGGCATCGAAACTATTTCTTTGTTGTATTAGTGACAGTAGGGGTCACAATAGATATTTTTAATCGCAGTGTAATAATACCCCATACCTTACATACATTAACATTTAATGTTTGTTTTCTTTTATTATCTTTATTGATACTTATTTACTTTTTTCTATTTTTAAGCTGTCTTTGTATATTATTTTCTTTTTCTTCATTTTGTATTTTATCTTGTGTTTTCACTTTTATATCTAATTCTTGTATATTTATTTCTAAACATCCTTTATTTATTTGTTCTTCAATTGTTTCTATAATTTCTTCTATCTTCTTCATAATTTTGTCTCTATGCTTTTCTCTACTTTGTTCTAATTTATCAATTTCTTCACTCCATTTTCCTATTTATTTTAAGCAGCATTCTCACTATTGGATCATCTCTCTCATATACAATTCTATATTTTTCTTACATTTTGTTTCCTTCACTTATTGTTTTTTTTTTCTATAACTGTTTCTTATAAATTTTGTTCATCACTATCCTCTTGTCCAATTTCTTTCACTTCTTCAGCCTGCTCCTTCAATCATTTAACTTGTTTGCCCATTGGTAAATTCATTTACTTTCACTTGTAAACTTTTAAAAGTAATTACCTAACACATTATAACTTCATGTTATTACTTTAATTTGATCTACTTTAAACTATCACAAATCTTCTTTATCTAATATTACTTCTTTATGTTATTCCAAGTTATTTAATTTATTCGTTCTTTAAATACTACAACGACTACTATTAAAGTATATACATCTAAGCATGCGTAGATCGTTTACGTTGCAGAACAGACTTTATTAAAGATTGTGCCTGTCCTAAATTGTGGGTTTAAGAACAGTGGATAGTATCGGCTTTATAGCTTTTGGGTGGCCTCGCCGACATTCGTGTGAGTCCAAATTTTTAATATCATCGTCATCTAAACCTTTTAAAATTGTAATTTCTAATGCCTCTTCCATATTATATACTATTATAGACAACAAAAAAGATGAACTGTAATTTAAAAATTTTAAATTGAGGTTAGAAATATGTATAAGGACAAGGACTCTAATATCAAAACTTCAGGTTTGCAAAAGGTCTTATTTTAGCATGGAATTTATTTGCCTCTAATTATGTTGTTGCTATTAAGCCGGCCCCAGACAATGCGTGTATTCGGCGAATGTGCCTTCGTACTGCGCCTTCGGCATGCCTTCGGTTACCCTCCCATACACTGCGGCATTTGGAAAATGTTCTGATGTTGACAAACGTTCGCCGCAGGGCCTCAGTATAGAACA